AGCCCTCCTGTCTTCTGACAGTGACCGGTGCCAGATGCTTCAGGAGGGAATGAATAGGACAGGGTAATTATTGAATGATCCATTCCTTGTTGTTCTGACTGCCAGAAGCTGGGATGGAGTTTAGGGACATGCAGAGCATCTCTGGGTTTGCATCCCTGACCATCATAGCTAATAGCCATTGATGGACCTATCCTCCATGAACTTATCCAATTCTTTTTTAATTCAGTTATACTTTTGGCCTTCACGCATCCCCTATTAGTGAGTTCCACAAGTTGATTGCGCATTGTATGAAGTACTTCCTTATGCTTGTTTTAAATCAACTGATTATTAATTTCATTGGGTGACCCCAGGTTCTTGTGTTACATGAAGGGGTAAATGACAGTTCTTCCTCCGCTTTCTCCACACCATTAATAATTCTATAGATCTCTATCATAATCCCTCCCCCCCGTTAGTCATCTCTTTTCTAAAATGAATAGTCCTAGTCTTTTAAACTCTCCTCACATGGCAGCTGTTCTATATCCCTAATAATTTCTGTTACCTTTCTCTGTAAGTTTTCTGACTCTAATACCTCTTTTTTTAGATGGGGTGACCAGAACTGCATGCAGAATTCAAAGTGTGGGCATACCATGGATTTATAGAGTGGCATTATGCCATTTTCTATTATCATCTTTTTCCTCATGGTTCCTAACATTGTTAGCTTTTCTGTCTACCACTGCACATTGAGCGGATGTTTTCGGACAACTATCCACGATGGCTCCAAGATATTTCTTGAGTGGTAACAGCTAATTTAGACCCAGTCATTTTGTATACAATGTTGGCATTATGTATTGCAACATGTATTTGCATTTATCATAGCGTTGCCAACCCTCCAGGATTGCCCTGAAGTCTCAATTAAAGACTTTAAAGATGTCATGTGATGAAACCTCCAGGAATATGTCCAATCAAAATTGGCAACCCTAAATTTATCAACATTGAAGTTCATCTGTCATTTTGTTGCCCAGTCACCCAGTTTTATGAGATCTCTTTGTAACTCTTCACAGTCAACTTTGGACTTAACTATCTTGAGTAATTTTGGATTGTCTGCAAACTTTGCCACCTGTTTATCCCTTTTTCCAGATCATTTATGAATAAATTTTCCTGGCTCACATATCTCCCAAAGACATTGCAATCAAAGTTTAATGAATTCCATTGCTAATGTGAAAGCCAGACTAGAATTCAGTGCAATTTCCCTATAGCTGCCTTGGCTTGGGTAACAATGTATTTTGGGCCTTGATCCTATAATAGATAATATGCAAACATACCAGTCCACCCAGTTGCTATCATCTGCAGAACTGACCATTAATAAAGTCAGCAGATATGACAACTATACACACAGGGAACAGTTCTGAATAGGAAGATTCTATTCATACAGTTACTTTAAAAAAAAAAGTCAACCTTCATTTGAAAATGAAGTTGACGTTTGAAACTGGTATCTTCTCCTACTCATTTTGTCTTTTCTGTTTGGAAAACAGGTTGCTGTTGAGGTCTCTAGTATTACCTGTTTACCTGTTTGTCCCTCAGCATCAAATGATATTCAAAATAACTGTGCAGTCCTGGAAACAAGGTTTGAAACTTAACAGCTGCTGAGAGTGACAGAAGAGAGTTAATGCACATATTTGTACTCCACGCCCAATAATACTCCACTTCTGCATACTCCACAATTTGTACTCCACGCCCAATAATACTCCACTTCTGCATACTCCACAAAGACGACTATCCAGAAATAGTGCAGGCACATTTTCAGTCACCCTTTGAAAATTCAGTCCCAAGAGCACAGATTTTGAATCACCACATTTGCTAGCAGAATAGGTTGCACATGTTAAGCAGCAGTTAGACATCCAGCTACCAGAGCTGGGGAGTTTTTGAACATGTAAAACGAAGGCTTGAGTCTCCGAATGCCTAAAGTACTGGCATTATTCCATTCATGCCCAAGTTGTCTCATTGGATGTGTTTGCAGGATCAGGTCCTAAATGTACAACCAATTTATGCAACAATAATTTACAAGCACAAAAAAAATGTGGCCTTTTATGTCTCTGAGCTCCCATTCATATTGTCTTGACACAATACATGATTGTTATTGTATGTAACCAACTGTGAAATTAGTTAGTTTCATAAACAATATTTATTGCAAAAATAATTACTATACCTAGAAATCAGTCATGTAATATATTGCTCTTTTTTAAAATAAAATTAGAGGGGGGAAAAAAACAAAGAAAGAATTATATAATTATCAAAAATCTATAGGCACTTTATTTATAAATTGATTTCATCTACAAAGACCAAAGCAGGAGAGGTTATAAGGGAAAAAATAATTTTCGCACCTACTAGTCTGTGTTAAGTACATTCTGCAGTAAAGATCTGATTTCAAATTAATATTTTACATTATTTCTTGTAAACAATGAAAATTATTTTGGGGATATCAAGAGAAGAAATCAGCTATTGTGACTATAAATCACTATATAATCCTATGCCATCTCAAAAAACAATGAGGAATGAAAAACCAGAACTTTGAGAATTCTAAGGGAATCCATCAATAGGTTTTGACATCAATAAATAGGCAGGGATGCAGCATCTTTAAATAAGTGAGATGAGCCCAGCTCTCTTGTTAATATATGAGAGTTATATTTTAACAAATTAAAATCAAAATCTGAAGAGGAAAACAAGTTTACCAACAGTATAAGAATAACAACATTACTTTTTGTTTGTCAACTATTATTTATTATATTAGCACCCAATAATATCACTCAGATCAGGTTTTCACAGAGAAGGTCGTGTTTTGAGAGATTTAACCCCCCCTCCCGCCCCAGTTAACACTTATTTTTGTTAATTACAAATTTTACAGTCCTATCAGTCAGAAAGTGTGAACTAGGCCCACTACATACAATCGTCTACATACAGTTATAAAAGCCTGGTAAGGGAGTAGCTACTGTGCATGTTTGCATTTGTTTTTCATAACCATAATTACTGCAACATTGGCTCTTATAAATCCATGGCATGCAGACACATACTATTATTAACGTGCATTTAAAGGGTACACTGTAATTCATATTACACACAAACCACTAAGTCATACCAAGACCTCGGAAAAAGGCCCATATTTTTCCTATACGTGTTTAATAGTACTGTACCATAAGACAAGAAATTAAACCACAAGAAGTATGTTCAAATGATATTAAGGGTCTGCCTCAAGGTCTCAAAGGAAATCAAAAATCAATGGGTAAGCCTGAAACATTCTGACCTTAGCCCAGCTGAGCCTGAGTATTATCAGATTCCCAAGACATTGGTTGATTTTATATACTATTGGTTACCCCGAGCAGCAAACACAACTCAAATGAATATCAACAGCAGTTGCAGGTACATAACAAGAGAATGGTATAGCTCTATACATTCCATTCCTGAGCATCTTTCTGGGTTGAGTGGAGTTTCAGGTATTACCAATGAACTTTGAAGCCTGGAAAGTTAAATAGATTCTATAGATATTTGAACATAGCTTTTCTGGTTTAATTATGGAAGTTACTTACAAAACTTCAGTCTAATCAGTATATGGTTACACACACCTAAATGCCTCACAGAAACCAGAACAGATACAATGGCAGAGCAACAAACTATAACATAAAACATTGTTCATGAAGCTCTACTCTGAATTCAGACAATATACACTTACTCCACGGGACATTATGAAATACTGTACTTGTTGTTTTGTAACATGAGACACCACAAAAAGGAACAGCTTTGAGACAGTGTGTATAGATAAATATCCACAAATAGATATTCAATTGTCATCCAATGACATAGCGCTACAATTTTGAAAAAGAAAAAGAAGAGCGTTTTTAAGCCAGAGACACTTTCACTCAACAGAAGGGAACAAAAATTCCACCTTACTAAGAACATCTTGGTGGAGTCTGACACTTTCCAGGGAGCTGTGATAGCATGCATTTTTTTACCTGGATGACAATGTTTCATAGTGAAGAAGCAGAGTTAAAGCACATGCAAGTTGTTAAAAGATTCCCTCCAATGCCTTTTGAAATATTTCTCATGGGCTCTAGTCAAATGTAGATTTGGGATAAATTGTAAATGCAACTACCATAAAAACACTCCTATTGATAGCAAGTTTTAAAGTTAATATACATACAGTAGGCTAAATGGCAAATATCAGTTACTTGTAACCAACAGGTGCTTATCAGAAACTCTTCCTACCTGTTAATGACAGTCTTTTAAAACAGGACCCTTTCTTTTTGAATTAATTCAGTGACACAAATAATAATTACATTGGTCTCCTTAGGTGGAACGTGGCACATTCATCCCTTCTCAAAGTATCAAGAGTTTTTCTAGAAAGCAGTGGATGGAAATGGAAGGGATTAGTTGTATATTTACATATTACCCTACTGTTTTGATTCGGAGAAGGATATGTTACCCACACCCACACACACACACACTTGTCTGGACTAACCCAGAAGATATGAAGATGAAAATCTATACATCACCATATTGCAGGATAAGGGTCAATAGATATAGCTATTGCTAATGAAGAATACTTGCAGTTGACTCTTCTTGCTGCATTAAGATTAGTTTTCAATTTCAGCTAAAGCTGAAAAGGAGTTTTCACAGTATGAATGAGACAGAAGCCCTGAATGGTAACCATTAAGTTCACCATTTTAAAGATCTCGCTAAGGGAACTGGCTTGCCAGTATATATTGCTGTACTATTAAACCAATACCAATTCCATGTCCCTCCTATCTGCCAACCATATCTTCCACTATTCCATTAGCTACCGGTTTGCGCATCACCAATTGGGCTGCTTTTGGAAGATGATGTTCCAAGTTAAGATGAAATCAATGTAAACTACACAATTGCTTTGCATTAAGAATTGTCTTTTCTAAGAACAGAAATTTCTTCCTGCAGGTTTGATAATACCTATTTTTGAAAAGTATTCTTAACACAACATGATGCAGAAGCAAGGCTAAAAAGTCATTACTGCATTTATTGATATAGAAACACTCATTTTAATAAAATTTGTTTTCAATTGCTTGACATTTTTGCATGCCTCATGAGATTAGAAATGACAATAAAAATTGCTTTACACACTTATTTTTCAACTTGCATACTTAAGATTTCAACAGTTTGAAGCTTGTTTCCTTATGTACTTACTATTCTATCAAAATCTACAAAGAAGTCACATGACATTTAAAATGCTGACTATCTGGAAAACAAAAATAGTCATCAGAAAAGCAGGTAATATTTCCATAAAATTTATAGACTATACAAAAAAACAGTATGCTACAGTTAATCTAGTAAACACACAAATCTACTGTACTAAACTACAGTGCAAGTGCTTGTGCACAGGGAAAATCATATTTACAAGTCCCCTTTATTTACAGGCTATAAACTACACTATTTCACAGTTATATTACACATAGACTTTCTACCATGTTTTTCATTGTGACAATGGGACACCGACAACTTAGAACCCAAACTGCTTGTGTATTTACTTACTGTATTCAGGCATACACAGGAAAAATATTTTTTATGCATCTTAAAGAGCCCTACAAAATCTAGCAAATGTAATAAAAAAGGCAAATCTGGTGAAAATCTGACAAAATATCTTTTATAGTTACAGGAAAAAACATCAAACAGTGCCAAATGCAAAGATAAAGTAACAGAAGCAACAAATAGGATTATTCATATAAATATCCACTTCAAGTTGTTATTGACCATTTTAAAAATAAGAGACTTCTAAACGGTATCTGTAGAAAGGCCTGCAATTAATAAATAGGAGGGGGACTTAGTAGCCCAAATAAAGAGGCTGCTCGAAGGGTGAGGAATTGTCATGCCGCTGGAGAGAAAGGCATATATCAATTACAAACATGGAACACGAATGTTTAACAGTTAAAAATAATATCCTCGGAGGTCACAAAAAATGCAGTTCATAGGGATTTTATTGGTCATCCATACATTGTATTTTATAGAAAAAGACGTTAGTTGTCACAAGTACATAGTGGGTATTTGGAGACTTTTAAAAAGGGAGCGAGCATAAAAGCATTGCTTAGACATTTTAGACTAATTCCTACATTTTCAAAATGTTGCACAAGATTTAAAACACACAACTCAGTCAATGCAAATTGTGTGATTCAGTACCATGTAACGAAGTCCAGGTTAATGTATTTTGGCAAGACAAACTTCATTCACTCCTCTTAGCAAGTTAAGGAGACCATACAAATGAGATCAAGATCAAGCCCACCAACTGCAACTGATGAGGAAATACCCTTCTAACATCGCTGGATTATCTACTGATAGGGTTATTATTTAGTTAGCCTTTGAGTGATCCAAACCAATGCAGCCTCAATTGTTTCCTTCTAGCCCCCAATATTGTACACAGATTTTTCAAACAGGCCAAAATAATCAAGCAATCTTCCCCTCAACACATGAATATAAATCTCCTCCTACCATCATTACAGGAAGACTTGAGAATAAAGATTAGAATTTATATTCCATGAAATTGCAGGTTATAAAGTCTTTCTACACAAGCTACTTAAAGAAACTAACAAAAATTAAATGAACTAGTAAGGCTGTAAATCTAGTTCCTGCTCATCTACAAGGACAAGGTATACGTGAACAGCATTGCAGTCTCCTTGCTACAGCATAGCCCCAAACAGGGCACTTAAGCATTATGTGTCAGTAGCATAACCACTCACTTTGGCTTCCTAGACTGTTTCCACTTCCCTGTGTAACCTCTGAGAAACAAAGTTTGGTTCATTTCCCAGGACACTGGCTACTTCCTTTAGTTCAGGCTAGGAATGCCTGAGACTACCTGCCTTACACTATGTCCAGCACAGCAGTCACACATTAACTCATATCAGGTCTGTTGATTGCACTATCAGCGCCAGTCTTAGATTAACCCCTTGCTAGGTTTGTCCTTTTCCCACCCATTTTTTCTGAATTACTTTATAAGTGGTGCCAGAGGAAACAGCCACAAACCTGATCGCCCTAGCAATCTTTGAAAGTCAGCTGATCAGTTTAGCAACTCTAAGTTAAATTTGCTCTCCTTATTTTTTTTTTTTTAAAACCTTACGTAGCTTGCATCTCACCTCAGACTGGATTTTACAAAACAAGCTGTTTTCTGTGAAGGAAACACCAACTCCCTGCCAAACATTCCTCTCCCCCCAAAATCTAAAAAAATGTAAGGTTTATAGCTAACCTGAGACCCACCAATTGAAAGGTGGCCAGTGCTTTGCTTCAGTGTTCAAAACCTGGATACCTCAAAGTACTATCAAAGTCTGATTTCGTACGTTTGTGTGTTTTTGCAGATTACTGGAACAAACAAGGTTTACCAGGTCAGATTTTTACCAATATCTCTGTTTAAAAATGAAACTAAATGTGTACTCCATTTGTGTCAAAGTTAGTAGGACAGCATGGACAATGAAGTCTTTAGAGCACTGCCTAAGAATATTTAAAACTGCAATTTGGTGAAAGTGCAGCCAAGAGATTTCAATAGACATCTCTGTGTAGTTAGTTTTCAGGGAATGATATCCTTCTCTCTCTAAGCAACTGAGCACTTCATCAGCTTGCTTTTTAAAAGGGAACACTGCTGCAGGATAAAACTATAGCATACAACCAAGAAGGAGAGGAAACTTAAAAAAAGCTATGATGTTTAAGAATACAGCAGCCACATTCCCCAGCTAGCCAGCCTACTGCCATGTGTGGTCATGTTAACAGGCAAGCAAGTGGTACACATTTGTCAAGCCCTAAGAAGTATTTTATTTTTATGTCTACCTTTCTGCTTTCTATGAACAAGATACTTATTTTTCTCTGTAATAAAGCAGGTAATATTTCAGGGGATCAGGCAAAGGCAGACTCAAGACCTTCTCTCTCAGAAAGTTTACAGGGGGGTCTGGCTTCAGTTCAGAGATACCCTTTTCCTCCTCTTCTCTCCTCTCCTCCTCAATCTCCTCACAGTTGTTGTTATCATCTGAGGGGTTTGAGATACGACTGGCAAAGACTTCTTTATCCAAGAAGACAATGGTTTCCATGCGACGGCGGCGAACACGTCTTCGTTTAAACCTTGGAGGGTTTTTCAGACCATTTCCATTTTTGCTCATTGTTTCTTGATGTATTATCCTTTTAATAGTTCCTCGGATGGCAATGCGAGCCAGATCCTGTAGGCTGCGGACACTTATTGGCGCTATAACACAGAACAAAAATATGAACAGGTATGGAAGCAAAAAAACTGGCAGCACAGGCTGAAAAGTTGTCTGAAATGGAGTGAGGATAACTATTTTAATTCCCTGTTATGTTTATAAAAAGAACCCCAACTTTATTTCAAACTCTGTCAGCTCGGATAAAGTTAATGTTTTTCCCTAAAAAACATGTTGTATTATGCACTTCTCCTGTAATCTGATCACTGAGAGAAGGAGTTGAGAGAAAAAGTTCAAACGCACAAACCCACTGTGCACAAAACACAAATCAGTAGACATTAAATATAATATTTAAAATCGAATTTTGGTATTTTATACTCAAATGAACTATTTTATGCAAACGTGTTTTAAGTTTTAAAACTTAAGACTTTGCAATTCAAACTGTACAATAAAGCGGAGGAGTTTGTTTCCGGACTTCTCAGTAGTGTGGAAACAGTCCTCAATGCGCAAAACAGAATGAGTAGATCTGGATTCCATTCCCAGCTCTGCTGCTGTTTAATTTTGAGACTTTGGGCAAATCACTTAACTTTTGTCCGTTTCCTCATCAATACTTATCTACTTCAAAAGGTGTAGGCTAACATCATTAGCATATGAAACCTGTTTCAAGATCTGTGGATAGAAGGAGTTAGAAGCATGTGACTGTGTATTATATAGGGTACATACCCACCCTCTTCAGTGGTTTAGAGCAGCAGTTCTCAAACCAGGAGTATGTGTAGCCCTGGTGGTATACAGAGGTCTTCCAGGACTACATCAACTCATCTAGATATTTGCCTAGTTTTACAACAGCCTACATAAAAAGCACTAGCGAAGTCAGTACAAACTAAAATTTCATATAGACAATAACTTGTTTATACTGATCTATAGCCTACACACTGCAATGTAAGTACAATGTTTATATTCCAATTGATTTTATAATGATATGGTTAAAAATGTATTTTTAGGTCTGCTCTTGTAAGCAAGTAATTTTTAAGTGAGGTGAAACTTGCGGGTACGCAAGACAAATCAGACTTCTGAAAGGGGTATAGTAGTCTGGAAATGTTGAGAACCACTGGTTTAGAGGAGTCTACATGCTTTTGTGCAGCACTATTCAGCCAATCCAAGGTGCGCAACAGTCAACACTACTGCACAATTCCATGTCTCTCACGTAATATAAATAAAACCTGTATTTGCATACATCTATCCCTGCACTGAGAAGCATCAAATTAAATTGAAAACTCTGTTTGGATTACAAACACTTACAGACATTCTTCTAAGCAAAGAAGGGGAAAAATAAAGTACGAAATACTTGCAGGCTTCCTCATAGTGGACACAATATGCAAGGTATACTCAGATGGACAGTTAATATGCTCTGTACAGTGTGATAAGCAGATACCAAAGAAGAATAAAAACAGATTAAGTAGTAATTTCTTGAGGGCAGGGACCCTGTGTTCTTATGTGTTTGTACAGGACCTTGCACAATGGAGCCTCAATCTAGATTGGGATCACTGGGCACTACCTGCAATACAAATAAAAATAATGCAACTCCCCTCCGGAAGGGTATCATGTTTGAAGGAAACTCTGCATAGCCATGGTATTGATATAAATTGATAAATGTCACAACTGAAACAAATGCTGTGTGCATTTTTCACTTTGTAATATATTCCCTTAATACTATAAGAATCCATGTATGGATCCACATGGGCAAGCCAGTACAGTCTGACAAACAGGAAACTGAAAATGCAGGCAGATTATTTTAAAATACAAAGATACGCACTTTCAATTTCACAGAGCAGACACTAACATTTCTGGATTTGTTTTTCAACTTGCTTTCCTAATACCACACCTCTTCAAATACTGGAAACCTGTATGCAGCATAGGATGGACAAAACTGGACAACTGTCAAAAGAATGAAACATCTTGAGTAGTTTTCTCCAAAAGAAGGAAGCTGTACTTCCGCTGTGTATGAGTATCATGCTTGGATCAAGGTGAAACTAACAGCCAAAGGGACCGCAGAAAGAAGAGCAAGCATATCTATAAACATTTATACTTACGCAAGTGAACAAGTCTCGATTTCCCTGAATCTGCATGAATAGGTTGAATCAGAGGAGCAAAAGAAACAGCAAGGATCTTCTTGGTTTCCCAGGCAGCAGGACCAGTGCGTGTTATCTTCGTCAGCTGCATCAAAGAGAGAAAGTGCTGTCTACTATGTAAACAGTAGAAATCAGTTATCTATAGTTAATTTTTTATGCTGAGAATGAACAATCTACTGTTTGCCTTTTGGATTTCAGGCAAAGTGTTTGAAATACAGAGAATTAGTGGCGACAAGGTGAAAAGCCAAGTAATACACAGGTTCACCATAATTCTTTCTTTAAAGAGTGAATATAGAATTCATGAAGAGAACCAGATTTACAGCCCTAATGGACGAAGTTGTCTAAACACAGAACATGTGCAGTGGCAATACCAGATTTCATCACACTGCCCTCCCAGTTTCTCCCCATTCTGAACTATAGGGGCTGCCTCAGAGTTCCAAGGGTAATTCAATCTTCAGTAGACATTCATTCCTTGGCTGAGAGAAAGTTATTGCAAATAATATTGGTGGGTTTTGCTGTGTGAATGGGATCACCAATTAATTTTACATATTGTAGGTGACCTAAGAGCCTCTGAATGGTAATAATTTCTGTGAGCTGCTGACCGAAACTAACTACTGTACTTTGAGATGAAAGGCTCCATATGTCACTTCCAATCCTAAACCAAGCAGTTCCTTGAAACAATAAATCTTTACTTGCAAGAGACGCCAGAATTATGAAGATATATTCGTTTAGAAAGCTCGGGCATGGTTATTCAGATTTTGAAATCAACCGTGACCTGTGGCATACCATTAAAAATGGCAGACCATTAGAAAAATTGGTATCCGGCCTGTTGGGCCAGTAAATAACAGCACCACAACCCTAGGAAAAGTAGAGTCCATAGAGTGTTGCTGCCACAAAGAAGGCTGAAGCACACTGATAAGGAAACAGTAGTCTAATAACCGTCTTGCTAGTTTTCCACAATATAAAGAGGGTAGGCCTAGAAAGCTCTTTTTATATCAGTTGCAGTTTTTGCTAAAGGCTGTTGGACTCTGCTGTTTATTTAACCTATGACTTGCAACTATTTTGAATGCTTCCTGTTTGGCAAAGTAAGCTGCCACTTTTTCTTGCCCAATTCTCACTGGCTGTATCTGGAACCCTGAACGAAATTTCCTGCTGGAGAACACTTCAACAATGTATGGGATAAGCAGAAAAAGAAATTCCAAAAAACCCAACTAAACCAAGATTTGTTCTTGCAGAAAATCTTTTTGTTTCTTTAATAGTGAAGGAAAGTTTTAGCTAATCTTTACCTCCTTGGTTCAAATTTTCAAAAGGACTTTCCTAATATCTGTAATATTTATATATACAAGTTAGGTGTATTTGTATTTTCATATACACAGAAATTACCCAATTTGTGTGGACAAAGTGCTCACTGGCACTCATGAATGTCGGTATTTTGGATGCCTCTTTAGAGGACAGTTTGTGAAGTTGACTCTTAAACACTTAAAGAAATGATCAAGCAGTAAGTATTCTTGACTTATAATTTAAAAATTATTTTCTGGTTGCAATAAATATAACAAGACACTGCACTATATACTTGCAAAATCTATTTATGAAGTAGTTTACAATCAGAAATTCAAGCTAATTTGAAATCAAATTATTAATTCAGTATTTTCTCCCTCTCCTAGCCTCAAATGAAAGATATCAAGAGATGTAAGATTCACATAGCTACAACTCAACCGAACCCTGCACCACTATCTTCCTTTTCCACGTACTTAGTATGAAAAACTTTTTATGGACTGTCTAATTTACCACTGGAAAGCAAAGTGTGGTATGGTACCTCACTTCAACAAATTTTGACTGAAGCATTCTTGAAGAAGTACAAAAATGAAGCGTTAAACTAACTTGGGAGTATCTCTCACAATTCACTAAAAAGTTAAATACAAAACACCTGAAGAGGGACTGTCTGGTAGAAGTATGCATACTTTGTAACATAATTAAGACACGTATAGTTCAGTTTCTGGAAATTGCTCTCTTTATTCCTAGTAAACACTTAGTGTAAGAGCTGATATGCCGAATAGTTACCTATAAGGAAGGTAGTGAACTGCACCTATAGGCTAAATAAGAATAAAGAAATCAAATCCTAGTTTAAGAGGCACTCAACCTTTTCCTCGAGTGGCATGACGAGAATTCCCCCAACTTTCAGCAGACTCTTCATGTAGTCCTCATGTTCTTTCTGTACCCCAGCACCACAGTAAACACGGTCATACTGAGTAGAATCTGGAGAGATCTCTAAACAATTGCCAGTAACAAAGGAGGGCTCACAGAATTCAAATCTGAAAAAGAAGAAGTCCAATTATAACACTACATACTTGATAAGAAAAGAAATTTCATTGGCCATTTCCCCTCCCAAGCCCCAATTTCCTGGATCTCAAAAAGTTTCATTCTACAGACTACCACAAAGGGCCACAATTTGAGGCCCTCCAGACTAGAGTGATTCTGAAATTACTCATACATGAGATTTTCCAAAGATCTTAGGTACATAATCTGAACACATACACTGAATAACTGCTTACACAAATTATCAGGATTGGGGATTTGTCATACAATTACCCAATTTGTGGGCCCAGTTACAATATCTTTGCATAAATATTACAAGTACAATTTGAACTCTAAGCCCTTTTAAGACTGAACCAGAATGTCTTTGGCTTAGTTTTCCATAACCTTTCCCATAAACTGCTAAATGGTTTTCAACACTAAGAGTGAGATGCTGCCTCCATTGAAGTCAATGGGAATTTTATCATCAATTTCAATTGAGCCAGGATTACACCACGAATTCATAGTTTAGACAAAAATTCATGCAATACAGTACTTCTGATATAATTTAAAGGGAAAAGAAACAATTTTATGCTAATTTCTGTTTTTGCAGAATAGCCAGAATTCACGAAGACTATAATAATCCCTAAATTTGATGCAGCAATAATGGTAAAATATTAGAACTGTCAAATGATTTAAAAAATTAATCACGATTAATCGCACTGTTAAACAATAATAGGATACCATTTATTTAAATAGTTTTCAAATATATTGATTTCACTTACAACACAGATCACAAAGGGTACAGTGCTCATTTATATTTACTTTTGATTACAAATATTTGCACTGTAAAAAACAAAAGAAACAGTATTTTTCAATTCACCTAAGTACAGTAGTGCAAACTCTTTATCATGAAAGTTTAACTTACAAATGTAGAATTATGTACAAAAAAATAACTGCATTCAAAAACGAAACATAAAACTTTAGAGCCTACAAGTCCACTCAGTCCTATTTCTTGTTCAGCCAATCGCTCAAACAAGTTTGTTTACATTTGCAGGAGTCAATGCTGCCCACTTCTTGTTTACAATATCACCTGAAAGTGAGAACAGGCGTTCGCATGGTACTATTGTAGTCGGCGTCGCAAGATATTTATGTGCCAGATGCACTAAAGATTCAGACGTCCCTTCATGCTTCAACCACCATTCCAGAGGACATGCGCCCATGCTGATGATGGTTCCGCTCGATAACCATCCAAAGTAGTGTGGACCGACGCATGTTTATTTTTATCATCCGAGTCAGTCAGTGCCAACAGCAGAAGACAGATTTTCCTTTTTGGTGGTTCAGGTTCTGTAGTTTCCGCATCAGACTGTTGCTCTTTTAAGACTTCTGAAAGCATGCTGTACACTGCATCCTTCTCAGATTTTGGAAGGCACTTCAGATTCTTAAACCGTGGGTCACATGGTATAGCTATCTTTAGAAATCTCACACTGGTACCCTCTTTGCGTTTTGTCAAATGTGCAGTGAAAGTGTTCTTAAAATGAACATGTGCTGGGTCATCATCCGAGACTGCTACAACATGAAATATATGGCAGAATGCGGGTAAAACAGAGTAGAGGACATACAATTCTCCCCCAAGGAGTTCAGTCACAAATTTAATTAATGCATTTTTTTTTTAACGAGCATAATCAGCACGGAAGCATGTCCTCTGGAATCAGTGGCTGAAGCATGAAGGGGCATATGAATGTTTAGCATATCTGGCATGTAAAGACCTTGCAATGCTGGCTACAAAAGTGCCATGCGAACGCCTGTTCTCACTTTCAGGTGACATTGTAACCAAGAAGCAGGCAGCATCATCTCCCGTAAATGTAAACAAACTTGTCTGTCTTAGCGATTGGCTGAACAAGAAGTAGGACTGAGTGGACTTATAGGCTCTAAAGTTTACATTGTTTTGTTATGGAGTGCAGTTACATAACAAAAAAAAAAATCTACATTTGTAAATTGCACTTTCACGATAAAGAGATTGCACTAGAGTACTTGTATGAGGAACTGAAAAAATACTATTTCTTTTGTTTGCCACTTTTATAGTGCAAATATTTGTAATCTAAACCAATATAAAGTGAGCAGTGTCTATTTTGGATACTGTGTTGTAATTGAAATCAATATATTTGAAAATGTAGAAAAACATCCAAAAATATTTAATACATTTCAATGGTATTCTATTGTTTAACAGTGCAATTAAAATGGTGATTAATCATGGTTAATTATTTTTAATCGCTATTAATTTTTTTGAGTTATTTGCGTGAGTTAACTGCGATTAAAATATACAGTTGTACCAAGATATCCACATACCACCTGAGGCCCTTGGAAAGAGGCAGCCTACTAAAATATGGTATTAGTATTACAAAAGCAAAAGACTTCAAGAAGTGCAGCAACATGATATGTTTGTAACAACTGGCTAATAGTCCTTACCTGTGTTTATGCCATATATCCTAGCAGCTATTTTCCCCTTTTCACATACCTGTATTTATACTCAAAAACATTTAAAAAACGAAGACTTTCTTCTTATCTATGACCGTATTAATCTCTGAAGTACAAATTGGTCAGCTGTAGAGCAATGTAGTTTTCTATACTATTTTTCTTACTCCAGGTATCCCAAAGCATTTTACAAACAATGAATTATTGGCCAATTTGTTTGCCAACATAATTGCTGCACTGTTATCAACTCATCAGTAGTTTGTACAGAGACTTGGCTATTAGGAGAGTTTTATTAAAAAGATTTTGATGAGACACTAGACCACCTATTCTTTTTGATATAGTTTAAATGAGATATACCAGTTTTTATATACCACAGATGGGCAAGGATCTCATCTTTAATACTGTAGCCCCCACCACTCCTTTTGTACTTGCACTGCAGTGTCACTGATTTTTTTCAAACAGGTCTCTAGATATGAAACTTTCTACTTACGTTGGTCTTTGCCATTTAGCTACAGTTATTGCATTTCTGTAAAGTGAGATGGCACAAGAGCAATAATGATAGGCTTATTTATTTTAGTAATGAAGGGGACTGGTTGCCTATTCACAGGTACTCTTACCTCTCTGCTTACAACAAAAGACTGCATGCTAAGGGGGGGTTACCTCTTCCCTACTTAACCATCAGCGTCTCAGTGTAGTGACTGGTGAAGTGGCTGCAGTTCAGCTCTTCTTGTTTAAAGACTGCTGTACCCATTTTATTCATTCTAGCATTGTGACAGTTCCAGGTGATCAGAAGCACTTCCCACAAACAAATTGCAAAATAAATCCAAAAATATGACAGCTACAACTCGTATTGCTAAGGTAACTTCTGGTTATAGGCATCTTGCTTTAGTCATCGTAAAAATAGTTTCACATTTTAACCAATAAAGTTTTTCTTCCAATAAAACTCTATTAAAGCAGCATGGAAATTACTTTACGCTCTTCGGTGGGATTCAGGCTGAGAGGTTACAAATATAATTTTTTCGATAGATGACTATCACCATTTGCAGCCTCAAATATATTGGCTGTAATTAAATCTTATTGCTAATCCCCAATTTTGGCTTCTTTCAACTGGTGTGGCATTAGAACAGCTAAGAGTACAACAACATAGCAAAAATTTCTTAACATCTCTCCTCCCACATACCCATCAGCTTAGAACGTTGTCACACACTGCAGCTCAGCAAGGCTAAGGAGCTAGTGTCCTAAAATCACCCTTAAATCTGCAGTTCTTGTGTGGGAATAGGGAGAGCTACCCAAACAGCTAGTAGTTTTATAGTAGTAATTATTAAATTCAAAATCATGAAGTAGGATGCTACAGGTGTTCTCTACTCTTACTTGTCAAAGCTGTCACTTGTTCTGATGAAGAAGTCCAATTTCTGCTTTGCATACTCTATAACATCAGAGTGAAGCTCCACACCATGGTTAACACCAAAAGGACCTGCAAGTTTAAAGAGTGCAAAGAAAATGGTTTTAAGGGCAACTGGATAAAGCTAAGCACAACTGATCCCTGTTACTTTCTCAATGTGTTTCAGATAAACTACTTCTTAAGAATGTTTCTACAATTTAAAATGTTTGTTTTGAGGTCTGCACTTAGAAGTGCAGGACCATTTACTACTAGCGATGGCTAATGCCTTGATGTACAGCAACCTTTTGTGACCAGGGTGCTCCTACTTACACAGAAAATGGTGAGGCAGGAATGTTGATGTTTCAGATGTACCACTGCTATAGAACACAAAGAATCCACTGTAAATCACTAAAGATTATTGCTATGGGAAGTGACCAAAAATCAAAAATTGGCAAGAGTTACAGTTCACATGGTAATTTTAGCTAGCTCTAGAAATCAGACTCACTACTATTACAGGAACAGTGCTTGAATTATTTTTAATTGAGCAATATATAAAAGTTCAAGCTTCTGACAGAACAACCCTTAAAAGATACATCCTGAACTTTTTTTTTTTTAAATAAAGTCTTTTAAAATGTTTTAGAAGGATTTTTCTGCTCGTATTAGCATATTTATAAGGGTCTTTTCAACAAGGGAAAGCGGGTTGGCTTAAAAACACCACAAGATGTGTTGCCAAATGCAACAATTCCCACAAAATTAAAAAGATGTTTATGTTTTACTTTTCAGTTATAATAATCTTAGATGTTACTAGTAACAAATAGGTAAAAAATTTCAGACTAAACATGGTTAATAAGTTGGAAACATCCCTTTGAACTGTAACTTTAATATATTAGAGTAATACTAAGAGTGCAGCTGAGTTCCATAAAAACAAGGGAAAGACACTTACTTAGTATGCCACAAGTAAGATTTATTATTCTCTGTTACACCTGAAAGAACTTGAACATTACAGGAATCTGAACAGGGCTTATAACACATTTGCATTCCAGAAGTTACTACAGAGGCAATATTGATTAGCAATATTCTGGTTCTTCTGAAGTGCTGAGAGTCTAAATTCTACCAGAGGACAAAAGAGGAAGTACCATAGCTTTCAGAAGATTCTAACAGTTTAGGGAATTAATCTTTGATTGATTACTTTTGTTTTGAAGACTGACTCCTCTGAATTAGAAACAGAACAGTCCCTACATATTTTGACAAACCAAATCCTTGTTTAATGTCATAACAAGTTCAATGCAGTTATATCATGTGACTTTACATAACATGATCAAATATAACAAAGAAAAATACATAATATGGCAATTTGCCTTCAAATATCTGAAAGGAAATTGTTGCAGAATTACAGTTATGCACAGTTTAAGAGTCCTGCTATTAAGCACTGAAGACAATAGCCATATTTACATTATAACTAGGGCTACACAAACCCCTCTATTATTTTCATATGAGACAGGCTTGCTCATTTTAAGGGAGAAATAGTTCAAAGGCACCTAAGGTTATAAGTGTTCATATTCTAATTAGTTTTGTCAAAGCTTGTTGCAAACCAATAAACAAGTTCCAGCTTCATGCCCGCTCACTAGAAGTGGGACTAAGTCTCAGCTCTGATGACACAAACATTTAAACAATTAAAATTTCCGACCCACAGGCAGGAGGGTAATGGGGACCCTCCTGCTATTAGCAGCTGTACTGGAAGTCAGAAGCAGTGTGTAAACACTGACTTTGCATTTCACTAGGATCAATGCAGTTTGAAATTTATTTTGACACTTCTCCACACAGAGTGATTATTACCACCATGAGATTGAGGGGTGATTTCCTGCATTTTCATATATTTAACTCTGTATGATCAGCCACGCTTTTACATCCTGGAAGAGCTATTCTACTTACACATTTACTCCTGTGTGTTTGTCTGGAGGAAGGTAAGGGAAAAAGAAGGTTGCTAACTGTGGGCAACCACCGCCACTGTTCTTATATTAAGACATAAGACTATTTGCTAAATTGTATTTTGAAGCATCTCCTTGCTTGCACTCGGGAAGTAACTAGAACTAGATACCAGGTACTGATCTTACACTGGAATAAATCACAATTAGATCTTTTAAATGTAGTTCAGGCTGGTTGCAGGGGATTAAGAATAAATGGGTCATAGATCTAAAGATTCAGGGCTCTCCCTGGTCAAACTCAATCACCATCCCACACAAGCTCGTCTCTCTCCACTCCTGACATCTTGATCTTCCACTCAAGTAAGGGCCCAGCAAGCCTAGACTCATGCCAGTAGGAGGCCATGACAATCAGCTGTGCACTGCATCAGTGTCTGTTCTGAGTCATCACTAGGTTCCCCTGAATCCTGCTTAATTGGCCAAATCTGATTAACATATTCTTTATCTGCACTTAGACCGAATTTAAAATCTTGAAATTAAAGCGAGGAATATTTCCTACGATCATGAAAACAGATGATAATTTAATCAATAATTAACATGACAAAGTTATTTACCCAAGATGAGTCCGACCATAGAACTCAGGTAACCGGTGCCACTGCCCAGATTCAAGAATGACAGTCCCGGCTGTAGATCCAAAGCTTCCATCACCTCTGAGTAAATGCACGGTGCAGAGAGATGAAAATTTCCATGTTTCCACGCCAGGTCTTTGTAAGCATTGTCCTTAAAATCATCAAGATAGTAGTCTGCTCGATCAATGGCACGGAATGCCTGCTCCACCAGCTCTGTCCGGATATACTGCGCTTCTTTCAGGTTATCAATTAATTCATCATTATCTTCTCCTGCACTCACTGCACCTCCCATCTTCTTCAACAATTTTTAGCAAGTTCTAAAACTCAATTGGGGTGGGGGAAGATGAGCAACAGAAGACATGTAACATCATTATAAGCGCTAAGGCTGTTAAACATAAAACAACTTAAAGTCATAACAATAAGACAACTTCTTTGCAAAGATATCAATGTAAAAACACTAGAACAGAACATATACTCAAAAGCTGACTTAAAATATTAAAAACAAAATCATGTACCTGGAGTTTCAGAATTACATACATGTTTTGGGGAGGGGGGTAGGAAGGTCATAATATTCACATTTTTAGTTGTATAATATTCTCCTCCAGTGCACCAACCTTGAACTGCTAAATAAGATTATAGATTCTGGTTCCCATTCATAGAATATCAGGGTTGAAAGGGACCGCAGGAGGTCATCTAGTCCAACCCCCTGCTCAAAGCAGGACCAATCCCCAACTAAATCATCCCAGCCAGGGCTTTGTCAAGCCTGACCTTAAAAACTTCTAAGGAAGGAGATTCCACCACGTCCCTAGGTAACGCATTCCAGTGTTTCACCACCCTCCTAGTGAAAAAGTTTTTCCTAATATCCAACCTAAACCTTCCCCACTGCAACTTGAGACCATTACTCCTTGTTCTGTCATCTGCTACCACTGAGAACAGTCTAGAGCCATCCTCTTTGGAACCCCCTTTCAGGTAGTTGAAAGCAGCTATCAAATCCCCCCTCATTCTTCTCTTCCGCAGACTAAACAATCCCACTTCCCTCAGCCTCTCCTCATAAGTCATGTGTTCCAGTCCCCTAATCATTTTTGTTGCCCTCTGCTGGATGTTTTCCAATTTTTTCACATCCTTCTTGCAGTGTGGGGCCCAAAACTGGACACAGTACTCCAGATGAGGCCTCACCAATGTTGAATAGAGGGGAACGATCACCTCCCTCGATCTGCTGGCAATGCCCCAACTTATACAGCCCAAAGTGCCATTGGCCTTCTTGGCAACAAGGGCACACTGTTGACCCATATCCAGCTTCTCGTCCACTGTAACCCCTAGGTCCTTTTCTGCAGAACTGCTGCCTAGCCATTCGGTCCCTAGTTTGTAGCGGTGCACGGGATTCTTCCGTCCTAAGTGCAGGACTCTGCACTTGTCCTTGTTGAACCTCATCAGATTTCTTTTGGCTCAATCCTCTAATTTGTCTAGGTCCCTCTGTATCCTATCCCTACCCTCCAGCATATCTACCTCTCCTCCCAGTTTAGTGTCCTCTGCTAACTTGTTGAGGGTGCGATCCACACCATCCTCCAGATCATTAATGAAGATATTGAACAAAACCGGCCCCAGGATCGACCCTTGGGGCACTCCACTCCATTCTTATTCATTGTCCCTTTTCCACTATGGAGTCCAAGCAATAATAATAAAAAATAAGTCATAAAAACATGGCCTGTGTTTGCCAAAATTCAAGGAACATCCAGACTCTGTTTGCAAGAACACCAGAAGGGGATTAATAGACTTCAAAAGAAACAGGCAGAAAAAAGAAACAGGGAGCCTCCCAAATTGCCTGCAGTGAAGGGTGAAAGAAAACATAACAGGATTCTAAATCCAAGGACATACATTTTTTTTTCCTCCACTTCTGCCTGTGCCCCTTGATTATCTTTTTTTTTTTTTTTTTTAATGTATCCACCACCTCCTCAGTAGAATACATACTTTCCTGTGGCTCAAGCTTCTGCAGCTCCAAGCATCACCTTCAGTGGAGAATGCAATAGAATAGAGAGCAACTGTTGGAAAGAAATTTCCTCAGAAGTGAGTGCAATTTCTCATGGTCTCTTCTAAGAGTTTAGAAAGATCATCCCCCTCAGAAACTATTTCATCCCCATCCAGCCCTTACAAAATAATGACACTGCTGATGTCACTTTTACAGACTCACAATTCATTCTGGGAAAAGAAAGCAAACCACTTACTCTCTATTCAGGAGACACAGTTCATAAAGTACATCTTCATCTTTTAAATCTTTTTAATCTAGTTGTTTCCCACCCACTAAAAAGTTCCATTCCAGAAAGTACAATGCGAATTTTTATTTGCAGTGCTTTGCTATGCTGTGCTGACAATAACTGCAGAAGCAGTAGCTTTAGTGTTGTTTTCTAGATTCAGTAGATCTGCCCACAGCTAAATTGTTCTATACATTCAGCAAGAGAAAATTTATATACTTTACCAGTTTCAAAAGAAATAAAGAAGAAATTGCAGCAAGAAAATCTCAACATATGTATTCTCAGAGCGTACCGTCCTGCCTGTCTGCGAACAGACGAGGCATGATGAACCTCCATCAAGTTCTTAGGAAGGACCTTTAGTCTGTTTAATAAATGTATGCCTCCAAGTATAGTAATCCATTAATAGTGTCTTGGATATTTTCCCCCATTGGCAGGTAATAAGAATTGTCCACCATCCCTTTTTCATCAGTTTAAAAAAAACAAACACCATTACACTATATTGCTAGTGAGAGTGCCCAGAATCTAGAATATGTACATCAGCCGGTCTTATCCTGCAATTTTGTTTTTTTCTTAAATACCTATCAATTTCTTGTGATTGCCTGATTATAGTTTGGTTGGTGCCTTTGGGTAGTATTCTTCACAGATTAATTACTAAATGTAGAAAATTCCTTCCATCCCTTAAGACCTTGTTTTTCTTGATGTTTGTTTGTGCACACTATTTTCTTGAGTATGTTTATCTCCTTCCCTCCATTCAGATCCTCTTCACACTATTAAAATCTCCATGTTTAAATACAATTGTGAAGTATGGTTTTGGCCCTACCAGGGCTCTGCTGTGGCTCCCTGACAAAGTTAAACAAACTTCGTTTTTCCTTCCTGTGCACACAAGCACCACAACCGTGGCTTTACGGTCCAGTATACACTAAAAACCATCATGAAATCACAAGTCTCACATAAGACATAAAGAAAAGGAGTACTTGTGGCACCTTAGAGACTAACAAATTTATTTGAGCATAAGCTCAGCTGTAGCTCACGAAAGCTTATGCTCAAATAAATTTGTTAGTCTCTAAGGTGCCACAAGTACTCCTTTTCTTTTTGCGAATACAGACTAACACGGCTGCTACTCTGAAACTTGACATAAGACATTGTTGTCCTCTGACCAGGCTTTAGCCTAGTTGTAGGGACATCAACGGTTCTCATCCACACTACAAGCAACAGTCATTTTGTAACCCAGACAGCGGACAACCAAGTTGTAACAGGGTCCTCTAAGTTATACTGGTAGTGTCAATGAGACTTTGAAACGGTTATTTCTGTAGCATAGACTGGTCTTCATTTTATGGAAAACATCTGCTTTATATGCAGAATTTTAAAACATACCCCATTGAAACTTCTCTTTTCCAATAATTACACATTTGTTTTCCTAAACTGATAGCTATAATCAAAGGTACTCCCCCCGCATCTTTTAATACTTTAGTTGCACTCGTTTGCAGTTCTTGTGCAGAGTACAGACTTCTCTACAGATCACAGTGTTACAGGTCTGGCCGTTACTCTGGAGTGTGCATGCCACAATTATGATCACTATCAGAACAGCGCAGTTACTGAGTTGTGTACACTCCAGGAATGGTTACGCCACCCGCTATTTATATGGTGCCATGCTCACCTCTTCTGAGAAAAAGAAGAGCTTACAATGTGAGAAGCTACGTTCATATTCCAGGAACAAACAATGATATTTTAATGATTTATTACAAAGCAAATAGAGTTAAATGCACTGTTAGTAAGCTCACAAAGAAACACGAGAGGGGTAAACTCAGCTTTTTTGACAACTGCCACAGACTCCACAGCACGCTTTGCAATGAATAATAAAAGGTAGCTAAAGTCAGACTGAGTTACGCCCCTCTCACTGATCCTCCCACAACCCTCCCCAAAACACTCACTCTGCACCCCCATTGTTACTTCCACTACAAGACCCCATGCGGGTCACTGGTGTGTGTGTGTGTGTGTGTGTAAGTGTGTGTGTAATAAATACTGCTGTGCATCGCCCTCCCTCGTACCCACAGCCCTGTGTCCCTGCTCCACTACTCCACAGCTCAGGATTGCAATTTAAATAAGCAGAGATCAACTCAGCAGCCAGACTCAGCACTGAAGAGACACTATATGGGGGGGGGGGGGAGCAGGGGGGGTTGCCAGGTTATCCTGGGGGGCCTCCCACATTGTGCAGGGAACCCCAGCAGCCCTCCCCCCCGTACCATTATAGGGTCGTTGGCGAGGTGCGCAGGGCCGTGTCATTAGAGGGCGCTGGGGGGGGGGGAGGGGTGGCTCCACCATTACTGAGGCCTCTGGGGGCCTGCCCCACTGCGAGGGAACCGCCGAGTATCGGGGGGTCTCCACCCCGCTCCCTCCCCCAGCAAGGGGCTGGGGGCTCCGGCCTCCCCTCCCCCACCCGGGGCCGGAGGGGGGGAGGGGCCCCCGTGAGGCCAGGGCGGTTGGGGGCCTGCAGCGCTCGGTCCAACGAGAGCGGCCGCTTCAGGCCGGCGGAGCAGGCGGGGTGGGGGAGGGGCTCTACCTGGGCGCCGGGGCAGCGGTTCCTCACCCCCCTCCCCCACCGGCCCGGCTCTCCTCAGCCCTCGGGCTCCGGCGGGCAGCTGTAAACACTCACCCAGCTGAGAGCCCCCGGGCAGCGCCACTGCGCAGTCGCGGAGCAGACCAACGGCGCGCCCACCGCGGGGCCGACGGATTGGGAAATGGCATATACCATTGTAGCACCGTGATGGGGAACGGAGCGCGGAGGTGCCAGCGTGGGGTGACAGGTGTGGGAATGTACCACTCCAGAAAGGGGGAGCCCCGTGTGGGAGTGTCTCACTGAGGAGTTGGGGGGGGGGGGGAAGGCCAAGGGCCTGTGACAGACGGACCAATAGCTCTGGGGTTACTGCATTAGTAGAAAGGGCCCTAGCAGGGCCTTAGTGGGAGCTGCACACACACAGAGATTCATCCATCACCTGTCCCTGCGCCACCCAAAGTATAGAAAACACAGATCCCAACTCTGCTGGGCCCTCTTAACAGTGATTTGGGCACGGCTGCCCCCAGCACAGCACTCCGCCACCACAACACACCTCAAAAGGCACAAGCGTGGCTTAAAAAATCAAGAGATTTTTAAAAAAAATAATAATAAAAAAAATTAGAACTTTTGGGGTTCATTTTGTTTGCGCTCTGGTTTTAGAGATTTTAGGCTGCACCTGGGTCACGGGTTCAAGTTTTTTCTCTGCAAGGACCAGGCCTGGAAAGAATCTTACATTTAAAAAAAAAAAAAACGAAGCCTTGAGACACGTGACTGCAGGAACTGAGGCTGCAAGGCAAACATCGAAGATCACTAGACTCATGATGAAAATAATGAGGAGTCCTTGTGGCACCTTGCAGACTAACCAATTTATTTGGGCATAAGCTTTCGTGGGTTAGAACCCACTTCATCAGATGCATGGAGTGAAAATACAGGAGCAGGTATAAATACATGAAAGGATGGGGGTTGCTTTACCAAGTGTGAGGTCAGTCTAATGACATAAATCAATTAACAGCAGGATACCAAGGGAGGAAAAATAACTTTCGAAGTGGTAAGAGAGGTTTCAGAGGAACAGCCGTGTTAGTCTGTATTCGCAAAAAGAAAAGGAGTACTTGTGGCACCTTAGAGACTAACCAATTGAGAGTGGCCCATTAGAAGATGGTTGACAAGAAGGTGTGAGTAACAGTAGGGAGAAATTAGTATTGGGGAAATTAAGTTTAGGTATGATAAAATCATAAAATCATGATAAAATTACCAGAGTTGGCAACACTGCCCTGCCCAGCTCCGTTTAGCGTGGTGCTTGCTGGGCATTGGCTGCTGAACTGCATTGCCCCCTTGAAGCTGGAGGCAGCCAGCCAGCCAGCGTGAGGGCGAGTTGCTCAGGTCTCGGCTGCAGCTGAGTTTCAGTCTGAGGGGCTGCCCCATGTGCACGTTGGCTGGGGCCCATCTATGGCAATTTGGGGTAATAAAATTAGCAAACATGGTGATAAAAAACGATTGTGTGGCTAAACTGAGCCAAGCCTGCTATGCTGAAAGTTCATCCCCAGGCGTTTCTGGAATGGCTCGCATAGCCGGTGCTAACAGGAGCCCTATGGTTTGTTTGTGATTCATGTCCGTGGAGTTAATCTCTGCCCACACTGTTCTGCCTCTGAATAGGGGCTTTCAGTTGGTTTTGTGTGTTTCCTGCATAGCCTTTCTGGATACTTGTGCAGTGTAGTACCACTGGCAGGCAGTTTCAATTTACCAAATTTACCAGCAGCTACTCAAGTTTCTTGGCCATAAACCCCGCTTTATAAATAAGAATAATAAAGATAGTGGAAGGTCTAGAATTTCTAAAGAGATTTTTGAGGCTTATTGAATAGGAGTGGGACTAAACCATAGCACTACTGGATGTTATGGGCCAAATTCATCCCTGCTGGAGCTAAAGGCCTTATTTAGGACCAGTTGAAACTACTCTGGAACCTCCAGCAAATAGGCCTTTGTCAGTTGTCTGTTTGCCTTCACAGGGCAAGAGTCAATGCATGTGTGCCTTTTCCTTTCCACTTGCCATGAACAATGTAATGAAGATTGGTTAGGCTGGGTAAGTATGGTTTTTTGAGCCAAGGGAGGAGGGAATAAGTAGACCAGGTTTGTGGAGCTAAATAGGGAATAGAATATAGAGGTTTCCTGTTAAAAGTGAGGGATGGTGATCTGCGTAGGAAATATCCTGATTCCCCTGGGGACTCTATCCCCCTTCATTTCTCCGTCAACACAAAGTGACCCATACTGGAACACGAGCAGTTGACATCACACTAGCATAAACTGACCTGAGCGACCTCTGAGGCTGCAGCTGTGGCAGCATTGTCTGAACTGGCCTTGATCATATTTGCTACTGCAACTAATTACAATCTGTACTTGGAGGGACTACAGCGTCTGGAAAAGACACACATTGATTTAAGCAGCTTGGAGACCTGTACCAAAAAAGAATAATATTGCTACTTCCAGACACAACAAACCCGCACTGGAAGCAGCATACAAAAAGAAATACCTCCCAAAAGTGAGATTTGAACAAGAGAAAGTGAGTCAGCATCTGGGATGTATTTATGCTTTAAGATGATTATCCTAGCTGCCTTCATTATCATTATAACAGCAGATCCTGTGTGAATATGCACAGGGTAATACTGTAGATGTCTGCACTTTCATTTCACAGAAGACAGCTGCCTGAGAGAATGGGACTATTTGTGTACTGCAAACAGTGAAACTCCTGGTTGCTGATTCAACCAAAATAGCACACAGGGGTTGTGCGCTGCCTCTTTGTGTTTACTAGTGGCTGCTCTCAAGAAGAGGGGCAATGCAGTCGAAACCTGTAAACATTAATCAGATACCAAACTTCTTTCATTTACGATTGGTGACCAGCTAATGAATGATCTAATGATTTCACCTTTCTGAACCTTTGTTTCCCTCCCCACTAGAGCTGGGTGAAAAATGCCAATTATTTTTCACAGAAAATTTCACTTTTTTTTTCATTTGGGTAGAAATGTCTCATAAAAACATTTTTGGTGTTTTGAGAACTTGAGATGTAGACAGAGTGGAACTCATGTGTGTGACGGGTTGGACCCCAGTGTAGCTGTTCTGCCAGCATGGGCCCCCTTTAACCTGTCTTGCTGAGCCAGGCTCTTAAAATCTCCTCTAACACGCACACAGGCAGAGCCACACCCAGCTGCAGATCAGCTCTCGGACAACTCAGTTTAAGGGACTTGCTCCAGCACTCAGATGTCCACTCCCTTGGAGTACAGACCCAAAGATATGTTATATTCACCTCTTCTCTCAATGTGGAAGAGGGTATGCACAATTTCTCGCCCTCCCAGTTAGAAAGCACCTAAACGGGGTTGTATTATAAACCAGAAATAAATGTATTAACGATAACAGGTGTATTTTAAGTAGTTAGGGAGGTAGCAGACAGAACAGGGCTGATTACTAAGAAAATAAAACAGAGCACCCAAACTAGGCTTAATACACTAAAGAAACTGGTTACATGTGAGTTCTCACCCTAAATAATCTTCACAGGCCAGACGCCCTTCCAGCCTGGGTCCAGTTCTTTCCCCCTGTTCAGTCTTGGTTGTTTCTAGCAGTCATCTTGCATGGGGTAACAGGGGAGAACTGACGACCTGGATTTCCTCACTCCCCACTCTTAAATAGGATTTGCATAAGGTGGGAGTCCTTTGTTTCCTAGGTTTCAGAGGAACAGCCGTGTTAGTCTGTATTCGCAAAAAGAAAAGGAGTACTTGTGGCACCTTAGAGACTAACCAATTTATTTGAGCATGAGCTTTCGTGAGCTACAGCTCACTTCATCAGATGTATACCGTGGAAACTGCAGCAGACTTTATATACACACAGAGAATATGAAACAATACCTCCTCCCACCCCACTGTCCTGCTGGTAATAGCTTATCACAGCAGGACAGTGGGGTGGGAGGAGGTATTGTTTCATATTCTCTGTGTGTATATAAAGTCTGCTGCAGTTTCCACGGTATACATCTGATGAAGTGAGCTGTAGCTCACGAAAGCTCATGCTCAAATAAATTGGTTAGTCTCTAAGGTGCCACAAGTACTCCTTTTCTCTTTGTTTCTTAGTTTGACTCCCCTTCCCTTATAGTGGAAAGTTACAAGAAGTCCCAGGTAATGTTTTAGTATCAGGTGACAAGACCACCTGCCTCTGTAGGGCCCCTGTAGCCATTCTTCACAGGCTGACCCACAGGGTTAATAGGAAGACTAAGCTCTTTAGCAGTCCATTGTCCTTGTTGATGGGCCATCCACCCTGTCTGGCTTTTCCATTGTTGTACCTGAAGTATTGGCAGTGGGCGTCACCCAAAGAAGCATAGTTGAAATACAGATACATAGTCAATTATTCCTAATTTCAGATACAGAAATGATACAGGCGTACAAATAGGATAATCGCATTCAGTAAATCATAACCTTTCCAATGATATCTCACATGAGTTATCTTGCATAAAGTATATCTCAGTTATGTCATATTCATATAAGCATATATTCATAAAGAATATGGAATGACATGTCACAATGTGGACATGCAAAGATTGATATTTACCTACCACTGTGCCCCCCCAGCGGAGTCCATGACTCACTGAGCTAGAGAAAGAGGTTTATCCTGATAAGATGGTTTGCTTCTTCTTATGGCAGCACAGGGAGAATCAGAAAGAGTTTGGAGACCCCATCTGGGAACACTCCTGGGTTTATTTACCGATTTCTCTCAGCCTTTCATCAGCATGCCAGGTAAGTTGCTGCACAATGTGGAGGGGAGCAAAACCACTGAAATTCAGCCAGGGCAACATGTAGTGTGAAGACAACTAAGTAGGATACTCACCGCCTTCAGGTCATCGCCTAATTTCCCCTCTACAAATGAGCTGTAAGGTCGTTAGACTGTGCAGGCAAGAGTGGGCAGCATGGCCATAGGGAGGAGCCAGACTGAACAGCAAGTTTATTTCCAAAGGAAACATGTTATTTGCTGCACTTCAGGCATGAAGCAATATTAACTCCCAAGGTCCATGCTGTGAACCTGGCTCAGAGAACGCACTCAGGGGCTAACAGACAGGGCTAACAAAAGAGCCCTGCATGTCTGTGCATTGTTATAGATCCTGTT